TTCCAAGGTGGGCGAATTATTACCACCAAGACCGAAATCTAGGATCATCTTCCCCCTGTGGAGGCAAACCCCTGTGTTGGTGTTGGTGCCCATTTCCAGGCCTCCAATGGCATTGCAAAACTGGGCGCCGATTCGCAAAGCGTGGCATAGCATTATCGCATAGCGCAGCACGGCAAAGTGTGGCGCTGCACAGCACGGCCCTGCGTCGCTGAGCAAGGGGCACAGCAAGGCAAACACAGGCAGCACAGAGCAAAGCAAATTTGAGGAACCCCAGGCATCCGCTGGGGAACCACGGGGAACCACCGAGCAACCCTAGGACGCCGCCTGGCAATCCCTTGGGACCCAGCGGGAGGGACAGCCATCGCCAACCACCATCTTGCACGGAAGGTGCAGGAGCCGCAGGCCATACGCAAAGCCCCAAGAAAGTGGGAGCCCCAAAAGACCGTGGCTTCCTTTTGACTTCCAGGGGGGCCCTCTTTCGAGGTCTTAGACCATCACCAGCATGATCGGGGTGAAGAAAACTCAGGAGGGCAAACAACACACAGACACAACTAATCGTCGATCCCCCAGAAGACTCGGGAACATATGGGAAGTGGGGGGAGGACGAAAACCCATAAAACACGGACACACACATATGGGGAGCCCTGGGATCTGTGTGCATGTATTTGTGTGTGCCCCTGGGCCCCCTCAGAACTTGCCCCCCCAGATGGGGTCGAGAGGTCCAAGGTGCGGGGCGCGCTTTGGGGGGGGCTTGGGGGGGCGAAAATCAACAACAACAACAACAACAACAACAACAACAACAACATCAACAACATCAACAACAACCACAACCACAACCACAACCACAACCACAACCACAACCACAACCACAACCACAACCACAACAACAGCAGCAACAACAACAAAAATCGGATTACCCTCATGCGCGATGTTCCCACACGAAACATGCGACCAGCATGATAACTATCCACATCATAGGGGAGTATTGTTCTATAGCGGGGTCCGTTACTCCCATTCCCAGATATCCCGCCCAATGAGGTCTTGCAAACACCTCCTCCGAGGAATTTCAACATATCCCGCCTCGAAAACCGATGCCCGCGCCTTGCTGCTCCGATGCGAGACCGCCAGAGGAAAAACCAGCGAAGGGTAAAGCACAAGGAAGTATCGAACGACAGGATTGCCTTGGTGGGGATGGGGGCTGTCACTGTCGGCGGTGAGGCAAGGACCTGGCCCTGAATAGAAAGGGAGGAAGTCTCGAGCAGGGCTGCTGTTGTTGCTGGGAGCGGCGCCAATGCTGAAGAGAGTAGGGCGCTAGCCCAGCGTAAAACAAACGAAGTCTCGAGCGGGAACGCTCGTTTTGTTGGGACGGCGGCTTTCGGCGGCGAGGAGGAACACCGCCTTGAGTAAGAAAGGAGGAAGCATCGAGCGGGAGCCGTGTTTTTGTCGGGACGGGGGCTGTCGGCGGCGAGGAATAGCACCGTCCCGAGGGAAAAAGAAAGGAAATCTCGAGCGGGAGCGTTGTTACTGTTGGAGCGGCGCCAATTCAAAAGAGAGTATGGCGCCAGTCCAGCGTAAAACGGAAGGAAGTCTCGGGCGGGAGCGCTGGTTTTGTCGGGGCGGCGGTTTTCGGGGGCGAGGAGGAGCGCCGCCTTGAGTAAGAAGGGAGGAAGCATCGAGCGGGAGCCGTGTTTATGTCGGGACGGGGGTTGTCGGCGGCGAGGAACAGCACCGGCGTCATGAAACAGGGTGAAATCTCGAGCGGGAGCGTTGTTATTGTTGGAGCGGCGCCAATTCAAAAGAGAGTATGGCGCCAGCCCAGCGTAAAACGGAAGGAAGTCTCAGGCGTCAGCGCTGGTTTTGTCGGGGCGGCGGCTTTCGGCGGCGAGGAGGAACACCGCCTTGAGTAAAAAAGAGAGGAAGCCTCGAGCGGGAGCAGCGCTTTTGCTGGGGGCGGCGCCGATGAGAGAAAGACTAAGCGCGCCAGTCCAAGGTAAAACGGGAGGGAGTCTCGAGCGGGAGCGCTGGTTTTCTTAGGACGGCGGCTTTCGGCGGCGAGCAAGAACACCAGCCCTGAGTAGAAAAGGAGGAAGTCTCGAGCGGGAGCGTTGTTGTTGTGGGGCTGGTTTGGGCGGTCCCCCAAACCGTTCGAGCGTGAGCCTCATATTCAATGAAAACGTAGCAGGCGCCTCGGCGAGAGCGCCAGGGCGCCTGTAAGGGGTCCAACAATAATAAATGCTTAGTAATGAACACCCAACAACAACAACAACAATCACTTTACCCGAACGCTCAGTGTTCTCACCAGTGCCAGGGTTTTCATGCGACGCCAGCCAATACCCCCACTTTGTGGGGGGGCAGTGCAAGCTCTACCAAATATCCACACGACTCTTCGCCACCACCCACACCCAGCTTCCCGCCCTATGACGTTCGGACACTTCACTTCGTGGCCTGCGGACGACCGTGGCTACTACACTGGCGTGGAGTACACACCCACAGAAGTTGTTAAGCCTACGTTCGTACACCCACAGAAGTTGTTAAGCCTTGTTAACCCACAGAAGTTGTTAAGCCTTCCACAGAACATCTGTTGCATATGATGCATATGGTACATGATACACATGATACACATGATACGTACTCACAAGATAGTTGATCACATCTTTAGGGCAAATTCCTGAGGGATGTGGGAATACACAAGAGAGAGGATATGGTTGTCCCGATGGTTGTCTCGATGGTTGTCCCGATGGTTGTCCTGATGGTTGTGGTTGTCCCGATCGTTGTCCGCGCGCGCGGATAGAAATTGTTTTTTAGGATTCGGACAGCGCGCGCGGGTAGAAATTTTGAAAAGTCGTGCAGGTGTTTTTCGAGGACCTACGGTGCGATTCGTGTGATTTTATGATGCGCGGTGCTAAAATTCTTAAGAAGCCCAATGGTTTTTGGAGATTTCGGCGTGCGCGCGCGAAGAAAAAACGAATGTGTCCCGCATGGTATTATTTGACAGGGATGATGGCCCTGGCAGGTGCGCAACCGTTGTCGCAGAAGTTCGAAAAAGTTGCTCGCAAAAGCCCGTTTGACAGAAATGTTTAAAAAGTGTTGGGTTTCCTACGAATCCGCAAGAGCGCGCGGGATGAGATTTTGACAATTTTTTGTTGAAAAACCATTGGTTTTTTGATGTTTTTATGTTAAAATCGCTGCGAACACTAAGGTTTTGGAAGGATTTCGTCTTGCGCGCGCGAATGTCCACTTTACCTTATTTTTTGCAAGGGATTCTTGAAATTTGATTATATTAGAACAAGAAATGTCATTTTCTATTGTTTTTTGCAAGGGAAAGCGGATTACAACAAAACAACCGGATCCTGTACACACCCTCTTTTCTGAGGCTTCCTCACGAAAATGATGAAAATGTAGCTGCGGCCTAGGCGGCGCAGGGGGGGCGCGCACCAGGGGGCCCAACAATAATTATTCTTTAGAATAAATAATGTTCAACAACAGCAGCAGCAGCAACAATAACGACGACGACGACAACAACACAACAACAAGAACAACAACAACAACAACAACAACAACAACAACAACAAAAACAACAAAAACAACAACAAAAACAAAAACAAAAACGCCACGTCGGGTGTGCCGGGCCCCGCTCTCTCTCTCTCTCTCTCTCTCTCTCTCTCCCAGCCTCTGGCCCGGAGCGCTCTGCCGCGGGGCAGGGGCCCGCCGCGGGGCGCGAGGGCCTCTGCATTCCCCTGCAGTCGGGCCGAGGCATCAGATCGCGGTCGGCTCGGGGAGGGCGGTGGTCGTTCTTGTTGTGACTTGTTTTGCCGATCGGCGCGGGCCCCAAGACCGCCCACCTCCCTCCCCCCCCCTCTCCGCCCCCAAACCGCCGCCCCCCCCCTCCCCCCCTCGAGGTCGGCTCGGGGAGGGTGGTGGTCGTTCTTAAATGAATTGTTTTGCCGATCGGCGCGGGCCCCCAAACCGCCCCCCCCCTCCCCCCCCCCCCATGGAGTAGATCTTGGCTGTTTTTGGCGCCTTTTTCGAGCGGGTGGGGTCTCCCCCAGAGGCCGCACGGTTCCAAACAGTCGCATTAAGCAGGGGTCCAGAGCCAGACCCCCCCTTTCCCCCCCTTTGCCGCCCAATGTTGAAACGCCGAATAAAAAACGCTCACGTGTCCTGGTGCTCTCCGTGTTTGTTGGATGTGCTTGTGCATCCTGGGGAAGGATACCCTCGGATGTTCTGCTGGTTTGGGCCGACGGAGGGCCTCATGTTCTCGAGGGGTGTTCTCCCCGCCGCTGGCGTACAGAAGCGCCCGCCGGGAGCAACTGGACAAAGCTGCTGTGCTCAGAACCCCCCCCCTGGCCCCCCAATTTCGATGCCGACAACGGGGCTGCCTCGGCCCTGGGAGTGTGAGGCGTCTTCCTGTTTGTGGTGCGGGCAGCGGCCGCGAACGCAGCACGGAAGTGCGGGGCTCCGGGCGTGGCACACCGTCGAAGCCACGTCTGCGGATGGGCTTCTTCTTGCGCCAGCAGCGGCCTGGCCGAGGCCCAACTCCTCCTACTCCTCCTCCTCCTCCTTCTCCTCCTCCTCCTCCTCCTTCCTCCTCCTCCTCCTCCTCCTCCTCCTCCGCCTCCTCCTCCTCCTCCTCCGCCTCCTCCTCCTCCTCCTCCTCCTCCTCCTCCTCCTCCTCCTGCTCCTGCTCCTGCTCCTGCTCCTGCTCCTGCTCCTCCTCATCCTCCTCCTCCTCCTCTTCCTCGTCCGCGTCCTCGTCCTCGTCGTCGTCGTCGTCGTCCCCGGCGCGCAGGGCAGGGCCCCGAGGGGCAGCGAGCGAGCTCGGCCAGGACTAGGCGCGGCCAGGCTGCACGCCCCAGGAGGTCCTGGCGTGGCAGCTCTGTCGCCCCGGGCGGCTTCGCCCGGCTTCGGGCCCCAGGACCCTCACAGATCGATGGGGCTCGAAAGATGCCGCAGAGCGGTGGGGTCCAGGGCTCCAGGCGTCATGTTCTGCGAGGCTGCAGTGTTTCTTCTGCAGCGTCGGACCTCAGGGAAGCTCGGCCAGCGGAGTCCGACCAGGCCGAGCTTGGCCGGCCGGTCTCCGCCAGGCTGGGCTCGGCTAGGGGCTGAAAATTCGGCCAGGGCCGAGCTCAGCCTGGCCGAGTTCAGCTGGCCGAGTTCAGCTCACCCACGCGCAGAAGGGGGGGTAGGGCGCGGGGGGGAAGGCTTCTTAGAAGCACCCTGCTTCTTAGAAGGCGCGGGCCTCGTCTATAGACGGAAGGGCTGGCGCCTTCCAAGAAGTAGCCTCCTTCCAGGAAGCCTTCCCCCCTCCCCCTGCCCACTTCTGCGCGCCGCCAACGAGCTCAGCTGGCCGAGTTCAGCCTGGCCGAGTTTCGCCTGGCCGAGTCGCTTCCCCCTGCCGGAGGCAGGGGGGTCCCGCGCATCGCGGGCCGGCGCCCCGGCAGCCGAGCGAATGGACCCCGAGCTGGGGGTCCCCGTCGAGGAGATCCCGAGGCTGCGCTACCCGGAGGAGCTGGGCGCGGAGCGCTTCGAGGCGGAGTTCGCGTCCCGCGGGCAGCCGGTGGTCATCGAGGGGCTGGTCGACGACTGGCCAGCCCACCAGGAGGGCCCGAGGTGCTGGCGGGGCCGCCGCGTGGCGGAGGTGCTCGCGGACGGCGTCTTCGAGTGCAACTTCGAGCCCGCGGACAACCGCATGTACCGCTTCGAGGACGGCAACCCCTCGGTGCTGCTCAGCCCCGGCCGCCTGAGGCTCACCTACGCCGCCTTCCGGGAGGTCGCCGAGGTGCGGGCCGAGATCGCGCGGCTGCGGCGGGCGAGCCCCGGCGCGCCCGTGGACCTCGGTGCCCACCCGCGGCTGCGGCAGCGGTTGCAGGCGCCCCTGGTGGTGCAGAACGTACCGCCCGACCCGTCGCAGGTGCCCGCGCGGCTCCTCGAGCCCCTGCGGTGCCGCGTCCGCGACCTCGTGCCCCTCGCCTTCTACGCCGCGGGGCCGCTGCCCGAGGCGCTGCGGGGCGACGTGGCCCCGCAGCACGCGAAGCTGCTGCCGGCCTGGGGCCCGCCGGCCATGGAGCGGTGCTGGGCCACGCCGGGCGGGCCCTTCCGCGCAGCCTCGCCGCCCTGGTCGGAGGCGGGTGACCTCTCGGAGGAGGGCGAGGTGAGGCAACGGCAGGTAGCCTTCGGGGGAGGCCCTCGCCGCCACGGCGGGGCGCAGCTCGGCGAGCTGGTGTGTCGGGGCCCAGGGAGGGCCCTGGGCCCGGGGGCCGACTCTGAGGTGCCGCTGCGTTGGCCCGCCCCGGTCGGAGGCGGCGTGCCCGACGCCGGGGGAGGACCCGCGCATCTACAGCTGCTTCCACTTCGACCGGATGGAGAACCTGCACAGCCTGCTCGCCGGGGAGAAGGAGGCCCTCCTCGTGGCGCACCGGGACGCGCACGTGCTGAAGGGGACCCGCTTCGCCCAGCAGAAGCAGTGGGTCGTTGCCCCCGTGCCCGCCAGCGCTGGGGGGGAGCCCTACCTTGGGCCGGCGCTGCTGCGGACTGCGCAGACGGAGTGCGCCAGCGACCAGAGCGCCGTGCACCCCCTGCGGCCCGCGCGCGAGAACAGGCTCGCCTCTGGGGGCCAGTGGCCCGACGACGTGGTGGCCCCCGTGCTGCGGGCGCGGCTCCGGAAGGGCGACACGCTGTACATCCCCGCGCACCACTGGCACTTCGTCGCCTCCGAGGCCCCGCCGACACTGGCGGGCGGCGCTGGCGACGGGCCCTTGGCGACGTCGGTCAACTTCTGGTGGTGGCCGCTCCACGGGGTGGAGGAGAAGCGGAGGTGGACGGCGGAGAACGAGGTGGGGGGGGGGCGGGAAGGCGTAGGGCCCGTCGCCTGTGTGACTGCAGCCGCCGCTGCCACGCACCGCGCCACTCCGGCGCCTGTGATCATCAGAGCAAATCAGCACCTCTGGAGGCAGAGAGCGCACTGCAATCCGCCCGAGGGCCACTGCCCAAGGCAGCAATTGCTGCAAGCATGCGAACCGAGGGTTAGGACGGGGTAGGGCCTGGCTGTCCACCCCACACGGATCCCGGCCGGGCCAACCGATTGGGCCCCGGGTCGGTGCGCGCCGCCGCCCTGGCTTCAGGCAAGGACGGCGGACCTGGCAGTCCTGCCCGCAAACGGCACCATCACACCACCGCTGGTCCTGGCCAGGGCCAGCCCTGGGCCCCAGGACGGTGCATAGTAGACCCTCCTGGCTCCGACCAGGAGTTGGCGACGCGCACCAGGGGTGGCGCGCGAGGGGCGGCCTTGGAAGAAGGCGGGGGGGCTTCGGGGGCCTCCTCGGCAGCCCCCCGAGCTTCCGCAGGAGGGCTCTCACAAGGCCCCCCACGCCTCCTCAGAGGGCCCTCCCTCTCGCGCCACCCCCCGTGGCCATGCCAGGGCCCAGGGTGGCCCTGGCCAGGCACGGTGGTGGTCTGCGGGTGCCTTCTGCGCATCCTGGGGCCCAGGGCCAGCCCGGCAGGGGCCTGTGCGCGGGCATACAGGCGACGTAGCGCCGCCCCCGCCGAGAGAGGTCTGGTCTCGGGCCAACGCGCGCGTCGGCGACCCGGAGGCGCTGCTGGCCGCCCTCGGGCGCGCGGCGGCCGCCGCGGCCCCCGAGCCCGCGCGCAGGCCGCCCTCGCCCGAGTACGAGGCGGTCGACTGAGCCCGGGCCGAGGCCTGCGCGAGGCCTGCGCGGGCCCCGCGCGCGCCGACCCGGCCGCGCCGAGCCCTCGCGTCTCGGGGGGGGGGGGCGCCGGGTGGTCGGCGGGCTGCGCTGGGCCGCGCCAGGCCCGGATGCCTTCAGAGGGGGGGCCCGCCACGCACGCCCGCCGCAGCGCCCTCCCGCGGCCGTGCCGGGGAGGCGGCAGCAAAAGTGTCCGCCGATACCGGCCCCGCATGACGCCTCCTGCTGCTCCTCCTCCTCCTCCTCCTCCTCCTCCTCCTCCTCCTCCTCCTCCTCCTCGCCTCCTCCTCCTCCTCCTCATCATCATCATCATCATCACCATCACCATCACCATCACCATCATCATCATCATCATCATCATCATCATCATCATCATCATCATCATCATCATCATCATCATCACCATCACCATAATCCACATCCGCATCCGCATCCCACCCACCACCACTTCTTTCGCCACCATCCTCTCTCGTGCCCCCTCCTCCTCCTCCTGCTCCTCTTCCTCCTCCTCTTCCTCCTCCTCCTCCTCATCATCATCAGCATCCTCTTCCATCCTCCTTTCCCTTCTAATCATCCTCCTCCTTCTCCTCCTCCTTTTGCCCCTCCTCCTTTTAAATCCCTGGACTACCAGACGTGCCATTAGGGTGGGCTGGGCGTTTCCTCTGAGACATCGACACCGTTTACGATGTTGAAGCTTGACGCTCCCAACAGGTAACTACACGGATGGCGGTCGGGCTGTTTTCAGCAAGCGGTTCTCGCACTAGCTCCGCGCCCACTCGTCTCGAACGTTTCCGGCAGCTGCACAGATGCAGGACGGGTGGTTTTCAGAATGGGTTGGTTGCCTTGCCGTCGCGCACAGTCGACTTACAAACAGATACTTCAGAGCGTGAATTACCTACCCCGCTTTCGCTTCCAGGCAAGACCAAGTCATACCACGAGCCTCCTCGTCAAGCGGCCTGACCAGTACAGGCCGTAGTTTGGCATCGCTTGGTATCTCTTGGAAGCGAGGGTGGTCAAAAGCGGGGTAGGCTCGGTTGCCCCCTGATACCACATGGATGGATGACGGTTCTTTTCGCGCACAGCACAGTCGACTTACAGACAAAACGCCCACATGGATGGATGGCGATTCTTTTCCGTCTGGGGCTGTCGCCCGGCAGTTCCCAGAATGCGACCACCAGGCGCCCAGGCCGGTGCAGAAGGTCCACGGGCGGAGGCCGGGCGCCTGGCTCACCATGAGGCTCTCGGGCGCCGCGGACCGGTGCATCCGGGAAGCATACACGGAGTCGTGCAACAGTTGCGCGCGGGTGGAGGGCGGTGCCTCCTCAGAGCGGGGATAATCATCGTCAGACATGCCCTTTTCACCGTACCGTGGAGGCCCATGCCGAGGAGCACCCCGCTCGCCTCCAGAGTGCCCTGGGTTTCTTGGGTGCCGGTGGTTTTGCCATGGAGAGCGTGACGCTCCCACACCAAAAGTCGCTGGACGCCCTGGGGTCTCAGGGTTGGGTTTCTTGTGGAAGGTTTCTTGTGGAAGTCGTAAACTGGAACATATACATTACCAGTGGCGGGCTGTTTTCCAATCCCAGAACTTTTGGAGGGTCGGGGACGACGTCGGAGTGGTCTGGTGTATACTTGTTTCTTCGTTTTCCGGAGGAAACACAAGAAAGAGTGTATACACCAGGATCCCGTATACACCAGGATCCGCTTTCCTGTGCGAGCTTCAGTACGGGGCCGGAAAAGGTGTCAGTGTGTAGACTTCGGTTTCTTATCGGCACGAACGGAATGGGTACGGAAAGAATGGGTACGACGCCCAATCGCACTTCCTGTTCATTTTGCACAGGACTCGCCGTCCGCGCCGCCGCGGCTTGTGTCCATTTGAGACAGAAGGCCGCTTGCCCAACAGCGGCCGCTGTTGGTTTGGGACAACAGTTGTTGTTGGGCATTGTACCCATTCTTTCCGTACCCATTTCGGGCGTCCAAATCTCAGGAAGGGTCCTCGTTGTGTGGCCCACCTCGTGGCATTCCTTCTACCCCGAAGGATGAAGGACGGTTCCTGCTCACAGCGGAGCTCCCACACCAAAAGTCGATGGACGCCATGGGGTCTCAGGGTTGGGTTTCCTGTGGAAGGTTTCTTGTAGAAGGGTCCCCACTATGTGGCCCACCTCGTGGCACTCCTTCTGCCTCCAAGGATGAAGGACGGTTCCCACACCAAAATCGACGGTTCCTTCTGTGGCTTGGCCATGGAACGCGTGACGCTCCCACACCAAAAATCGATGGACGCCCTGGGGTCTCAGGGTTGGTTTCGTGGCACTCCTTCTGCCTCGAAGGATGAAGGACGGCTCCTGCTCACAGCGGAGCTCCCACACCAAAAGTCGATGGACGCCATGGGGTCTCAGGGTTGGGTTTGCTGTGGAAGGTTTCTTGTAGAAGGGTCCCCACTATGTGGCCCACCTCGTGGCACTCCTTCTGCCTCCAAGGATGAAGGACGGTTCCCACACCAAAATCGACGGTTCCTTCTGTGGCTTGGCCATGGAACGCGTGACGCTCCCACACCAAAAATCGATGGACGCCCTGGGGTCTCAGGGTTGGTTTCGTGGCACACCTTCTGCCTCGAAGGATGAAGGACGGCTCCTGCTCACAGCGGGGAGCTCCCGCCCTGCTCGCGGGCACCTGGGGCGCCTGCCTCTCCAGGGGGTGGACCCCTCGCGCAGTGAGAACGAATGGCTGCACTGATTGATTAGGAGGGGGAGGAGGAGGAGGAGGAGGAGGAGGAGGAGGAGGAGGAGGAGGAGG